CTGGTTGGAAGCTTGGTCATGGTGGCATGAAGATGAGCTAGGGCTGCTGGTGGGATTTATTAGTGAAGTTCATCAACCATTTCAGATTTTATAATGGAAGTGTTGTATGCATTAGCCATACTTAATTCAGATTTTTAGCTTCCTTAGGCCTATATATAGTGAGGTTTCCCAAGCTTGTAAACACACCCCAAGGGGGGGGGGAGCTCTCAAACACTTCTCTAGAGCTCCCTTTCCTTCTCTCCCTCAAATTCTCTTAGTTTCCTTTTTAGTTTTCAATTGTTGTAATGAAATATTTGTGCTGAAATTCTCCTTAAGTTTTTCACGTTCTACTTTACTTTTATTTGTAATGTACATTCTTTTTTAAGTATTCAAGTTTAATTAGTTTCCAAGTTTCAGTTATGGTTTTTGTTCTTATTCATTATGCTTATAAGTTAATATGCTAGTTTGAATGATTGATCACCATCTAGGTTTGCATGTTAGCTATCTTGGTTTGAATTAAGAGTAGACACCATGCTTTAATTCGAATTGAACTATGAATAGGAAGAGTATGTATGGACATTCGACAACAGGGATTAGATACATGCTTGGTTGTTTAAATTGTTCTTCTATGCTTAATGGGTTCCTAATGCTTAGTTTTAGGTTAGACAACAAATGATCAAATTAGGGAATTAGGAACACAAGGTTATGACCAAACACCATGGCTTAATCATACTTTAGCTAGAATCAATCCGTTAATCTAATTGAACTTGGGAACTTATTTGCTTGAGTTATTTCCTTTTTTTTCTTGTTTTATTTATTTTCTTTTTCATTTCTATTTTGTGTAGGGGAAACAAATTGGATCATTCAATCACCAATCCTCGTGGGATCGACCTCGCACTTACATATGCTATACTACCAAACGGCTCGTGCACTTGCGAGTATCACAAGTTGAGGATGCAGTTGAAACCATTTTGGTGCAGCTGAATCGAAGCAACAGTTGGGCAGACTAGAAATCTCCGCCTTGGGTTTGAAGTGGTCCACAAAGTCTGCATATGTGCTAACTTCCCACAATGACACCATTCGGCATGCCTTGCTTCTCCTATTTCCATCTCTTCTTCAATTCAGTCAGTATTGAGTCAGATAAGAACCAGCTGAACCTCTAAATTTGAAATCGCCCTTCCTCTTTTTTTCCCAAATTGTGCGACCCTCTTCCCTCTTTCCCAAATCCGAACTCCACTCACAGATTCATAAACCCTAACCTTCTACTCCAGATTCTCCCAATTTCGAACTCCATCTTAGAGTCTTATAAACTCGCGATTTCTTCTCCAGATTCTCCCAAAATCAAACCCCACCTCAGATTTTCATAAACCCTAGCCTAGTCCTCTTCTCCCAATTTCCTCTTCTCACCCAAATTCTGAATAATCCTAATTCTCCAATGTTAATCAAGTGAAAAGAAGTGGGCCCAAACGACGTAACGGAACGTCTTTTATTTGTGACAGAACGGGTAATGTGAGATAGCTTTTAAAAGTTCATGGGATATTTTGAGACGTTTCAAAGCACAGGTGGTAATCTGAGACAGCTTTGAAAGCACAGGAGGCATATACATAAATAAGCCTATTATCTATATCCACACCCAACTTTTTATACACCCTTTTTTTTTGGGTTAATTTTATGCACCCTTTCCTTTCAAATGACTGATTAAACGAATTTCAAATAATAAAATATCTTGTTATTAATTCGAAAATGGATCATTCCAAGCCCATATATATGCTATTTTGGAAATTACTAGATGAAAAAAAATATTGATATGTATAACTAAGCTGGAGATTGTGTCCAAAAAAAAAACCTAAGCTGGAGATATAAATTTACAAACCAGCGTGTCTGAAAGTAACTATTTGTTTTTTGTCCAGACCAAAAAGAAAATGTTAAACAGGCTCATGCCTCACAGCTAGAATCAAATCAATAAAAAATATTTTTGACAAAAAATAAAAGCAATATAAAATATAAATTGATCATTGGTGAAAGAAATGAATTCGCTCTATTTTTCTGTAGTATGGCAAAGTTTGTTAAATCATCCATAATACATCTCACATCTCTGTGAAAACCACCCGCATCAAACTAGGTCATCGTCTGAAGCTCTTACGGGTGAAAAGCTTCCAGATAGACTAGACTTGCCACATACTAAAACCTGAACACATTTTTATGAACTTTTGGAACTAATCGACATGTCAATGAAATTCTAGGGGTAGTTCTATGAATACTCTTGAGGACCCCAGTTTTCATTACATCAACAGCTCCATCCAATTGTGACGAAGCATGATCCATAAATTGCCCATGTTGAGCTTCTACTTCGTTTACAGCCTGAACAAAAAAGGATAACAGAAAACAGTTGGAAAAAGGCCAATCTATGTAACTTATGTTGGCACCGAGTTGATATGCAAATTCTATTGGCTCATTACGCACAACTAACCTTTCAAAAATACATAGCACAATTGAAGATCTATTGGATAAGAATGATGTATTTTGATTCATTATGGGGTTCAGTTTCATCTATTTTTGCACGAATTTCTGGAAGTCCTAAGAACCTTTGGGTTTGGAGAAGTGTGTTTTAGACTGATTTTCTTCTTTCCTCAATGTGTAGTATTGTTTTCTTTATCATTGCTCTTCTACATAGGTATGACTGCTGGTGCTTTCATACTTTGAACTGTTCCTCAATTTTAACAACATTTTTGTTTCTTACCAAAAAAGGGGGGGAAATTTAATCTTACCCCATTATAACATTGTACCTCACTGTCTTTGATAGCATGCAAGTAATCTGAAAATCACAAGGAGGACATGCTCAGATTTTCTATTAGAATAAAGAAGTAATAGCTAGAGATCGAGCTGTTACTTTAACAAAAAGATACAAACCCGAGTATGCTTTATCTTTGAATATCATCAAGCTGCGCGGCATTAATATGACAGGAAAAGGATGGTGTTCATCCATTGACTTATCTGTATCAATCTTAATAACTCCCCTATCAGAATTTGTATCCTCAACATCATTTGTGCATGTGCTTCTACACAATGTCAGTCTTGAATGGGGAGTAAAGTCCATAACAACAGGTGACCTGAGGGACAAGATTGCTACAACTGGATAATAAGCAGGCCCATCCTGGTGTGCCTATATGATACACAATTATTGCAAGGAGAAGCTCAGGCCAAAAGAAAAGAAGAAATGTTGTAATAAGAACACACGCATCCACCTTGCAGCTAAATAATGTAGGAAAGTATAGCAGGCTCAAATTTCCAACGGAATAATCCAACATAACACCAAAAACATTAATTCATTGGAAAACTCCTTTAGTGGACAACTGAAAAGCAATAAGTAATCAAAAGACAAGCCATCGCCAAGCAAATGCATGGCAAAGTTCAAGTCACACAATAAGAATAAATCAAAAGTAAAAGAAAGTTCAAAATAATATATTTTGGTCCTTGTATCTTGCTCCACTTTTAAGTCCATAAAATTGTTAAATATCTTAATTATATTTTTGGTTCAGATTTCTGTAACCAAAGTCAGACATGAACAGGATTTTCCAATGTGTTGTAAATTTTGAGATTAGGAAACAAAGTTCTCTCCCTGATCTACTCATTCCTCCATCCCAACCAGACAACAGCCTCATTGCAGCACAAATGCTATGGACAGATATCTCCATGAATTATGAGACAAAAAAATACATTTTTAATGGTTCAAATCCATAAATCCAAACATTCGGAGAAACCCAAAGGCACTTTGATGTCTTGTTCAGAGCCTCATCTTTCAAAGATCCAATCAAAAACCACATACATAGCCTTCCTTAATTCAAATCTACACATTTTTTACCACTAATACGCAATTTTGAAGTGAGTGGAAACTTACTGTGGATTGTCAAAGCAGTGGCAGGTAAACGTTTTCTTGTCAGCAATGGACTTGAAATGTATTACTTGTTCATTTTATGGGTTCAAATCCATGAAAAAGTTGTAATCCCTCTCTTTTTAATTTTCAAAACTTTGAAATAAAATTTAAAGGACTTGTAACTGTAAGAACTAAGTTATTTCAAGGACACGGAGAAAATTGAACTAAAACAAGGACAAAAATATGCAAATGTAAAAAGTAAGCAATGACCAATAAAAGCCTTGAGTTTCGGGCGAACCATAATGCCTTGGTTAGGAAGGTATTCATTGATAAGGACATGATTAATTGGCAATGGGAAAAGCCCTGATTCTTCATATATCTTGTATGTAATCTTGGTTAGCCATGAGGGCACTGCAAGAGAGAGAGAGAGAGAGAGAGAGAGAGAGAGAGATTATTGTTTTAGACAAATAATTCACAAACAATCATGAAATGGCAATATACTATGAAAAATTGCTTAATCACATAGAAATTTCTAAAGGTATTGCTCTATATCATTAGTTTTGCACTTCCTACAAGAAGAGGCCAACAAATTTGCCACTAAAATTATCTCCACAAATTGAGGTGAACACTAAACGAGTCTCCGCATCCTATGGAAGTTCTACAAATTTAAAGCTGACTTATGACTTGTAGAGGCAATATAATTTTTTTTGGCTGTGGAGGCAATAACTTCATGAGTTGTTGAATTGCACAGATACCACATGGACTATTTGGGTTGTGGGGCTTTGCAACTGAAAAATATATTTACAATGTCATACAGAATTCGATATATAGTAATGTAGCGCCTAAGTCTCCATTAAAATTGTCATTTTCTCTCTCTTCTTTCTCTTCTTCCTCTTTTTTCTTCTCTCAGTCACCCTCTTGCCCTCTCTCTTTCTCCATTATTTCTCTGCTTCACTAATAGAAGGTTTACTGCTACAAAGATGGACATTCCACATGCTAGACCCATTGAAATAGCAGATATCAAATCGGACACAGCACCTTCGGTTCTCCTATCTATTATGATTTCAAAGGCCACACCAAAAGGACTTGAGATACCAAATGCAAAAGCATAGGCAGCATATGATAACAAGTGATGACTAGGAATAATCTGAAGCAAAGCAGATACGTTGGCGCCAAGAATTTGAAACCCCCCGCCCCCCCNNNCCCCCCCCAAATTGCCATTAAATGCAAAGCCAAGTCCTGTTATATTGGTATCACTCAGAAAGTGCATCAAAGCCATACCCGGAAACCCACCCCTAGAAAAATTGCTTCTAGTGGGGTCTCACCAAACACCCAATGACACATCAATTTGTGAAATGCAAATATTCTCCACATGTGATAAAATAAATTATTTCCCACTTACAATCCTGTGGTAGAAGACCCTTTTCATGGACAGTACCGCCTGTTCACTCAAAGACAGGAAAAACTAATCAAAGTCAATATGATGGAGTTCCCTCCATATCTTCTAGGTATTATATGCAAGTGATATAAAAAACACCATATAGAAAACCAATATACATAAACCCACATAGAACACAAACATACCCCAGTTTTGTAGCCTCCTATTCTTTAAAGATTTCCACTTCGATACAGGGGCTTCATATATCTATAAAGCAATGAAGCCAGCATACTGAGAATTTTCATAAAAAAATAAATCATTGGGAAAGAAGGACGGAATATGTAAGACAAATATGGATTTCTACCTTATTTAGAAGCATGGTTTGTTCATTATCCGTAATGAAGTCAGGAATGTAAATTAAAGTCGGCAGAGATCCAACTTTGAAATTATCTATAGTCTCTGTTCTTTCCATTCCTCTGTCAGAACCACCACACAAGGTATGGACATCAAAGCATCATCATGAAATGAACAAAAATTAAAAGAAGCAAGTGCTTAGGATGATGAGCAGAGCACAGTAGATTTCTCCCAGATTGTCAAGGCTTATAACTCACATCACCTTCTTTTATTTCACTTATTTGAATAGTGTCAGCATTTGTTGATTTTGGAGATTGTTAAAAAGAGAATGTCAAAAAACCTATAACACAATAAAAACCAGTGAAGACCAATTATATAGGCAGTGTGATATGTGTGTGTATGTGTGTATAGAGAAAAAGAGGAGGCGGGGATCTAAAGACCTTTTTTTTATGAGAAAATATTTTATTCCTTTCACAATAGAGTACAATGATATTGAGCAAGATGTGCACTTCAATACATCAATGAAAGTAAAACAGTCCTCTGTCCCAAAAATAGCAAAAAGTGAATAAAAACACTTAGACTCCTAGCAAGCAACAGCTCTCAAATCTGGAAAAATAAAAGAAAATGGTATATCCCGAAAGTTAGAAGAAACTAATGTGCATAATCAAATCAGAAATCTGACTTTGTCCCCCAAACTCTGCACTCCCCCTCCCCACTACGGTTTTCAGAAGTCCTTTTTGTTTCTCTCCGACCAAATCAACCAACACACTGCAACTGCATAAACCTTTTGCCTTAATCCCCCACCAAGAGCCTTTTGCTTTTCCCAGAAAAGAGCCATGCATTTCGCTAGATTTACCCAGCTCAGTTCAGCTTTCCAACACAGCCTCCATCATAATTCTAAACCAAGTGTCAAATCTACAGATCTTTTTCACCATTTATTTCTCATCAAAGTAACCCACATCCACTTCCTCAATAAAGCTTAAAACTATAGATGGGATTCCAGTAGGTGAAACAGAACAGCAAGATGATGGAGATTGAAGCAATGGTAACTGAATTCTACTAACCTTTCAAAAAACTATCTGAAGTTGGCGTGCGCACTTCTGGAACTGAAAAATAGAAAGTTGAAAGACTACCCGTGAAATCACCCCAAAGTAGTAAGAAACTAGAAAGATTACTCCATTCTGAAAATTTTGTATCAAATTGTAAAAGAGTCTAGAATAGTAACCAAATGAGGAGTAAACATACTAGGCCAGTTGACTAAGAGAATTACTAAAAAAGTTTAAATTTTTTTACATGAATGAGCACGGTGCTACCATAGTGATGCATCAACCCGTCAAATGTATACAAAACAAGTTTGATAAAGCAACTTGGAGTGGAGGCATCGACAGCACCAGTAGGATCATAAACCAAATACCATGTACGCATGAGTAAATTTATTAGTTAATTACAACTTACCATTACAGCAGAAGAAGACCCTCTTTCAACCAATAGACCAAGGAGGGAAATTTCCTAATCAATGCCATAATGTCATTGCACCTTTTTACTTTTTCCAATTCTAAGAATAAAAATAGACGACGCTGACGCAGAGTTTTCAGGGACTGCACGGCGCAAAAGTTGAAAGAAAGAGAAAGTATATGTAGAGAATCTAAGAATCCATCACATAAGAAGGACAAAAAAATGGATATAAATTAAAAGAAAGTATTGCAACAACGAAACACAAACCTGCTGATTCACAACCGACCCTCACGGCGGGCGAAGGATGGACGGGGGACGGGATTTTAGTGCTCCCAGGTTTCTTCAGTTCTCTCGTTACGGATTTGAGTTTGTATTAAGCCAAACGCCTATAAATCTATCAAGAAAATCTGCATTAATATAACAAGGGAGCTGTATGATTAATTGGATTAGGCCTATTTCAGTATTTGGAGCCAAAAATTGACTAAACAATTTACTTTTTGCCGTTCAAGAAGTAAAAAATAAAAACTGCCCAGGACCCATCCCACTTCTCCTCCACCGCCCAACGCCCCCTCCATTCTCCATCGCCGGCGCCGTCATGGTCGCTCCCCAGTCCATCCCGCTTTCTCTCTCAATCCCATTCTCTCACTTCCTTCGTCCTCACCGGAGACCCTACGGTGGCTGGCGACCTCGTAAGCTTTTAATTCGGAGGTCGGAAATCTTCGATCTAGAAGCGGTTAAATCTCTAGTGATGAGAGAGAAGTGAGAGCATACCTCTAACATATAAAAATAAAACTTCTCTACGTTTGCGAAACTATCACGTTGCATTGCATCCTTGAAGATTTTTTGTATCACTCATGGTTCCTAAAGTTAATATGGGTGCTCTTAAATAGTCCCTTTGATAAACTCAACGATATAATCGTCAAATCAATTCAAAATTATAATATATATATATAGGCTGATTTAAGTTTTCTGAGTTAGCAAGTCTCCCAAGTTTCTTTTAATTTAGTCAGTCTCTAAAGTTTCTTCCAAGCCTACTCCTAGTTATCTAATTCCTTAGGTTCCTCTCTCTCAAAAGTCCATAAGGTGAGACCTTTTTACCAAACAGTAAGTCCCAGGTAGAGGCATGAGCGGTTAGGCACGAGAATGTGAGAGAGAGAGTAGCCCATAGGTTCTTAGGTACCTTAGAGTCAGTCTTAGGAGTTACCCAAGAGTCTTTCTATTTTGGAAGTCATGTAAGAGTCTTTCTAATTTAGTTAATTTAAATTTTCCACGTAAGCAAAATGAGTCGTTTATTTAGAACCAATTCAATTAATTCTTCTAGTTCTAGAACCAGTTTGGAACCAGTTCCAGATATAGTTAATGAAGAAGTTTTAGAATTTGAGTCTTCTAGTTCAGAATTACATTGTAATGATTGGAATATACCCAAAGTCCCTAATAAAGAAATTTATAAGCAAAAATGGTCAATTAATGCATTTAAGCAAACTACGCATATTAAGACAGTAGAACAAGTTTATGCCTTAGGAAAAGAACATGAAACATGCCAATTACTTAATCTTGATGCAATTAAGAAGCATAGGCAAGAAGGCAATAATTTTCTACATATAGGATTAGTTCAAGTCGATGTTAAGCCCTTC